CAATTTCGTCATGAAAAAGTACCAAATGCTAGCGTCTTTCCGTCTTTCTTCCTCCGTTCCTTCTTTCTTTCTTTTCCCCCTTTTTCTACCTCTTATTTTTCGGGCAAACGTCGGGGGGGGGGGGGCAAGGGGGGGNGAGGCAAGGGGGCGTGCGCCTAAGATGTGACGAGATTTGAAAAATAAAATTTTTGATTAGTTACATCTGAAATCAGATTAAAATGAACTATTCTATTACTTCTATAAACGAAAAAAAAATATTTAGACAGCCTGCCCTAGCTCTATGAAATGCAGGGAAATCCTCCTTTAAAAGCAAAGAAATTAAGCCAAAAACGAATTTGCGTCTTGAATTGAGGAGAAAAACTTCCATAAAAAATTTTACGCGAGGAGCTGCATCCAAATACCTTTGCCGGGTGGTTCATGGTATCGAAAGTGACAACACATATCTACTATAAAAATTTCAAACGAAGTGGAGCCACGAGGACTGTACTCGAACTGGGCGGCGCGCGTGGCTGTCCCAGGACGATGATGGTAATACATTCCGCCTTCATATTTGTAGCTAGGCCATTGAAGCTACATACGCGTCGAAAGAATTGTACGACTCATTTCAGTTTCTGCGCGCGTATATCGCAACAATTAGCGCGATGCAAACGAAGTGGGGGTTAAACGGGATGCATGAAATTTGGGCGAATGAAAGCTAGGGGACTCTTCAGCAAATTTCGAGCCAGATGATTTGGACTGCATTTTGCACTCAGGAAGAACAATTTTTGCCTCAGTTTAAAAACAACGCATGTACCATTAGTTTCCATATGCATATAAGGGTTTTTACCGACGAGTCAGAAATCGTAGTTCCGAATTGCAAGATGGAGTCCACTTCACCACTCGTTAAAATCACGATTGATTGCTCATGGATCAAAATTGATCCCGTAACTCCATCGGATCAGCGGTCAAGCTCTTCCCACAACTTCCATGGCGGACGGCTCGGAGCCATCCGGTCGAGGAGCGACACGCGCGTACGTTCGTTGGTCGTCACGTACGCGAGCGCGGGCGCACGTATCGGACGTCGATTGAATTGTGGCCGGTCGGGACGACTCCTGCCGATGGATGGCCGCTGCGACCGCATGCGATCATGTTGTGACCGTTCCGAGTCTCGTCTTCCTTCCCGGCCCTCGGCTTTTGTTTCTCGCGCCACTCGCTTTCTGTTCGACACCGGTCCCTCCGTCGTCCCCCATTGTTTGACGTCCGTACGTGACGTGGAGACGGAGCCCCGATTACAACGACTACGACGAGCACCAGACTTTATCGCTGATCCATATTGCCGAGTCGGGACAAAGCCCCCGAATAACAGCTCACTGAAAAAGAAACTCCAGCCGTGGAAGCCGTCCTCACGGGCTATGTAGACATACCGTCCAGGTTCCGGGCTCTGAGGCCAAAAGTTCCGGGCGTAGCACTTAGAGCAAACTGAGATACGGGTCCAGCACCCGAAACCCCTGGTAAAAATTGGCAGTAGAATGTGTGTTCCAAAATACTATAGATCTAAAGCCGGCCGTGAGATTTCCAATAGCTTCTGTAGCCGGCTATACAATTTCTTATAGCCTTTCATAGCCGATGGCGATTAAGCAACAGCCAGACGATTAAGTTTATGCTAAACGTTACTAAATACGGATACTAGGACTTAGTGAGTTTTTGGACTACCGCTCTCTTTTTGGGCCGTAGTATCTTGATTTATTTTGCGAGGAAAGCTCCGTACTTTTGAAGGATGCCTGCCATTCCTAATATGTTGGAGCGCCTTCAATTTCGCAGGATACTGTGCAATACCTCTGGTGTGAAATAGTTGCTTCAAGCGTCGTGGTACGCTACGGCGCGGCGCGGCAGGCGAGCAGCCAGCGCGAAACGCGCAAACCTACAAACCTAACAGGGATACTGCACGCATTGCGCAATGCGTGAAGTATCCCTGTTAGGTTTGTAGGCGTCAATGCGCGCTTGCGCAATGCGTGAAGTATCCCTGTTAGGTTTGTAGGCGTCAATGCACGTTTGCGCAATGCGTGAAGTATCCCTGTTAGGTTTGTAGGCGCCAGTGCGTCGCCGCTCCGTTTGTGTTAGGCTCTAATATTTAATCTCGCGGAGTCAGCGTTTTTCAACTCATGATTTTGAAATGTTTGCACACTCTGTATGGATTATTCTCATTTTAATTGATGAAAAAAAATATGTTCTAAAGGAAAATATAATGTGCGTTTTGTGAAGATTAAGGTAGTTCCGTATCAAACTTAATGATTTCCAAAGCACAACTTGCTGATTTTCTACACAATTTCCTATAGCCTTTTATAGCCAATGGCGATGAAGTGCAAAGCACGGCGATAGGAACTATAGCCCGACTGAATACTTTTTTAAAGCTTCGTATAGTCCGGCTATAAGATTTGCTCCGCTTTCTACAGCCAGCTATATGATTTTCAATAGCCTTCTTTAGTCGGCTATAAGAACTCCTATGGAATTTTGAAACGCAGCTCCTATCGCTAATTTTTACCAGGGACTTTCGGCCTCTGAGCCCGGGACGGACGGTATGTCTACACAATAGTCCGTAGCTTTTTTTCAGTGAGTGGTCGACGGACGATACTTTAAAGAAGATACTTTTTCAAAGGCGTCATTCAGCCAAATATAAGGATGGGAATAAAAGTTGTTTGACGAAGAAGGTATTCGGCTGGAAGGTAAAACTTCAGAAAATCTCCAAAGCTGCCCTAAAATCGATTAGAATTCACCTAAATTAATCGAAAACGGGTCACCTCGAATGTGTGCGAGAAGTCGGGCAGGTAACGGCCTTTCGGCTTTCGATACATGAAACCCTTACTGGGAAGGGCAAAAGTTGTGGGGAGGTAACAAAAGTTTAAACGGACCTCGGAAATGTCTGTAAACTGATTAAAATTCACTAGCGTTTCCCATAAAAGGGGAATTAAAATATCAGGAGGAAAGAAAGGGACACACTTTAGAAGCATTTCTAGGAATGTATTGTTGGTGAGATCTGTGGCCTGTCGAGTTCGGGTTTAACTCTTATCTAATGGACTCTATATTTGAAGTTTTTGTTAAGAGTGAAAGATTTCACTCTATTATTTTAAGGAATGGAAGCTCCAAGTAAGAGTTAAGTACAATTTTGTCTAGGGTTGATCTGAAGAAAGAGGGATATTATTATTATTATTATCATTTTTTATTGATTTACTTATTTTTTTGAGCGATTGATGATTCCCTCTCCCTTTGAAATCAAGATCTTTAGATCGCAGTGATGTGCTAGAACCTGACTGTCTCTTTTTTGGGTGACCGTGCAGAGAAGGTAAGGTCTACGTGCGGACGTGCACACAAAATGCATCAAAATAATGGTTTCCTGAAGGTAATGCAATTATGTTGACAGAATCAACTTATGCCAATTAAAAGGATTAGAAAGAAAAAACATCGAGAGAGATGCAAAACAATATGCAATGAAAGTAGCCGTTCATAGTTTCTTCACATTAGCTCTTTCTGGGAAACTTATTTCGATCGTGGCATCTGAGTGGGATACATTACAAAAATGTATCATTTCTAATCCACTATGACTTAAAGAATTAAAATGCTATTATAGAGTGCTGATCAGTGGTGCAGAATCTGTGAGGGTGCAACTATTAATCAAACAAAATGCAAAACTTAACTACAAATAATGAAAAATGATTTCAAATGAGGACAGAACCACAATGGAAAAGCTTCAAATAGAAAATAGAGAAAAGCTCGACTCAATTTGCAAAAACGACGACGAAAGAAGTACGATCAACAGATAAATGATTTTTGACGAGTTTCTGAGAGTCCAAACACATTACGATATTGATACCAAATCATGGACGAATAAGATGCCAATTCAACACATTCAACAAACAGGACAAACAATACGGAAAACAAACAATTAACGGTGCTACTACAGTGGCAAGTGCTGAAAATATGCCTACTTTCCTAAAAATAAATGTTTGATGCAGATGCATTTGCTTTAAGTGTCACTTTGCGTCATACCTAGATGCCAGTGCCTTATTAATTTTGATTATCTTCTCTCTTCACTCCTTCATCTTCCCCTTCTTGCTTACATAGTTTTGCAGCATTCAGTAAAAAATAAAATTTCTTCCAATATGTCGATATGGACAGGATGGAAAAATAAAATAAAACAAGTCATTTCTGGTCCATTGTTTAGAAAATGGTCAAATTACTGGGTCTTGATGAACTATAGGGCCCCCAAATCTAACAAAAAAAAAAAAAATTATTCACGAATGAAATCTAAAGCAAAGTGCGAATCAGGGGCCTGATTCCGTACCGACACAGCTCACAATAAAATGAAAAAATGATAATGTCTTAGTAAGAGAGAAAAAGAAATGTGACTACATTTTGTATTTCCTTTCTTTGCTCAGAAGTATTAAGTACTAAAATATTTTAGTGAACAAAAATGTGGACAAAAATATCAGCAAGCTATGATAACGACACAAAACTCAAATAAATATAAATTCTCCTTACCTATATGTCTAACTTTCAGACGGGTGGGAATCAGACCCCTGGACCCCTCCCTTGATAAATCGAGGGATTTTTCGATAAAAGGACGTATGAGGCTTACAATGCTGCAAGGATTGTGCAATTTTTTATAGAGTTTGCGGCGGATGAAATTCATTCTCAGTCGACTTACCTCGTTACAATAGTGAGGAAAAATTCGGAGAAAATTTAGGGACGAATTGGACTACATTTTGCTATTTGAAACTATAAATTCTGGCCCGGTTTAAAAACAACGTATGTGCCATTAGTATTTCCTATGCACAAAATTGTTTTTCCAGAAGAGCCAAACTTTTTAGTTCCAAATTGCAAAATACAGTCCAATTGATAGCAGAACCGTCGAATTAGTTACTTACAACTAGAGAACTGCGTTGCACAATCATAGCAGCATTAGAAGTCTCGTGCGTCCTTTCACCGAAAAATGCCTCAATTGGGAATATTCGAAGATCACTAACCTTGAGAGCTTGGAGGAGAGAAAGCCTCGGTTCTGACGAGGGTTTGCGTTCCCGGAACTTGAGCCGCAGGAATTTGAGACTCCTCTGAGGCTGCTCCTGGCGTGGGCTTGAGGGCCCGCAACCCCATTCCCATTCCCGTGTTCGGCCCCAGGCCGAGGCCCAGACCTAGAGCTGGCACTCCGTCGGAAGCTCCGAGCATTCCCGCCGGGGCACTCGACATCAGGTCCCACTGGCGGAGCTTCTCTCGGTCGATCTCGAACGAAGGTGGCCGGGTAGGGTACAGACCTTCCTCTAAAAAAGACTGCGGACCGTTGCGTACTTGCTGCCTACCGGGGATCAGATTCTTGTCCTTGCGACAGTACTCGAAGTTGTTCATCGTCTCCGTCTTGGAGTCCCGAACCAGCCGCTCGTAATGGACCCCGTCGTCAATTTCTTGTTCGACCCGAGTTGGGTTCCGCGGAACCTGTGGCTTTGCGATATTGCAAGAAGGCATCTCTTCGAAACGGTTTGTCGAGCTTAGGATGTCGACGCTTTGGCGCCCGGATTGCTGCTGAGGCCGTTCAGGGGTCTGGTCGAGGTCATCGAGCGACTGTGTTTGTCTTAAGCTGACTCTCCTCAAATTTTCTCGCCACAGGGCGTCTTCTTCCCAAACATCTGGCGGAGGCGGAGGGACTCTGGACGAGCCTCGGAAACACGCCGCCATATTTTGAACGTTGTTTTGGAGTCTTGGGGTTGTATTTTGAGGCTGGGTCGTTTGAAGTAACCGTGAAATAGCATTGCCCGGTGACATGGTCCTGTTATTCCTAGTTTCTCCTGGCGAGTACAAATCGTTGTCATCGAGTAGCCCTTCTAGAGATCGACTCAGCCGCCGGGTTGATTCGCTTTCGAACCCTACTGATTTATCTCGCAATCCATGAGGGTACAAGTTCCGTGTGTTCCCCAAGGGCTCAGGTGTTTGAGATCGTCTCTTCTGAGCCAACATTGCGGCTGACTTTCGGCGTTGCAGAGTATCAGGATCGTACAGGTTTCTTTGGTCGAACTGTTGGCACTTTTCAGGGACGAAAAATTGTGTTGATGTATTTTTAAGCTCGGCAGCGAGTTTGGCTGCATCCGTCTCTGAGAGGCCATCGATGGGTCGCGCAAACTGACGAATTTGATTCACCTTTCGTCCGATGTCGTTTCTCTTGCTCAGACAAAGTCCTTCCATCGGACTGTCTCTTTGGTTATTTAGAGGTTGCAGAGTGCCGTCTGGACGTATATTGATATTCTTGTTCTCTGCATTATAATTGTCTATCTCCACTTTCAACAGATCCGAATAATAGTATGGGGCACCGATTTGAGCATTGAATAAATCTTGGGCTGACGGGGTGCCACCAGGGAGATGTGGCAATTGTGGCACCTCAATCATCGGTTTACGCTTTGGAGGCAGCTCACATCTAGCAGTACCATCTGACATTTGACTGTTGGGTCGAGGACCGTCTTCGCAAGGTTCGCTCATGGGTGGAGCATGTAAGTTTTGCACATTTTCATAGTGGATCTCCTCATTTTCTGGTGCTTTGTGATCTTGCTCACTGTTGCACGGTTGGGGCTCATACTGTTCACCGTTATACATTGGTTTCACTGCAGGAGGATGCGCGAACTGTTTCATCGGAAGTAGCCCTGATGATTTCTTCAGGTAATTTTGGTAAAAATCGTTGTTAAACTCGGTGGCAGAGTTTTCAGGCTCAAGTGGATGATTGACTTGTAAGTCAGATAAGTACATATCGAAGTCTATACTTTCATTGTCATCCATAGCCAGACCATTCCTACTTCCTATCGAATCAAGATCGCTGCCGACGGATCGACGACCACTGGAAGTTGACCCGAAGTAAGGCTCCCTTTCTAGACAGTCTAAGATTTCTGGTGATACAGGTTGACGCTTCAACTTATCCCGTTTCGTGGAGTCGATAGAGTCCGTGTCTGAGCTGAAAGTATCATCTAGAGTTCCATTCGGGGGTTGCATCAGCAATTCCATCCGTTCATGAATCGTCTTTAAGTCAGACCCCGTGTTCCATAATTTTCGGTCATCTTTGATGGAAGACATTGTCAAAGGAGGCTCAAGTTTCATACAATCAGATTTGTTGATGTCTAACGAGGAGTCGGTAATTTCCAACGAGGTATCAAGGTCGTCCAAGGGCGGTGGACTTGTTGGAATAGGAGGCGGGGAAACAAGATCGCTGTCAGAGGAATCGTGTTGCTCCGAGCAAGAGAGACCGATGAGGTTTCTGTTGGAGCCTGCCCCGAGATAGTAAGACGCTGGTCGAAAAGTGTCCGACAAGCTGAATCTAGGATGTCGAGGGGCATCCAATGAGTCCAAGTCTTTGGAGGCCTCATCATCTGCATCGGAGCTATCCGACTTTACAGAGGATTGCTGCTGACCTGAGTTCGTCGACGATGGGCTGAGTATATCTGGTAAAGCTGTGCGCGGCGGGGCTGGTGGTAGGTCTTCCTTCTTCATACTACTGGACACTTCGCTTTTACTATTAGATGAAACAGAGTTATGCCTTGAGCCTAGGTGAATTTCTTCTATCACTGAGTTGACCTCCATGTACAGAGGTTCATGCTGAGGGTTCGACTTATAGAGGAAATCATAATTTTTCGTGTCTCTCATATTCAAATACCGAGGGGCTTCACCCTCCGATTGTTGCTGATTTTGCTGGTCTGCTTTGCTGTACACTTGCTGGTCGTCTCCAGGAGCGAGGAGGGACTTAATCATTCCATTTTCGGTCATTTCAACGTAGGAGCTTTCATCTCCTCTCAAAAGATCTTCAATGATGATTGTTTGGGAGGCAGAATTGCTGCGTGTGTGACAGAACACATCTGCGATTGATGACAAGCTGTTTTTCTTCGAGGGGGTCATGGGCATATAATGTTCTTCTTGGCTGCTGTCAAACGAACTGCTTTTTCGATGAAAATGCGGAGGTGGCACGTTCTTGTAACTGAAATTTGAAAGAGGTGGTTTCGACTCAACAGGCCTGGGGGGTGGGCAAGTGCCATTGGCAACAGCAGATTTAGTATCTGCAGAAAGTGTAGAATCTGGAGTTTTGCGGCTATATTGCTCCATGTCGCGATCTTGACAGGGGCTAAAAAAATTGTCCTGCTGGCTCAAGACCGCACTGACTTCTTCATCTTTATCCTCTTCACTGCAAGGAGTGTCCATCCTTTGGAGTCTTGACAAGATATCACTGGTAGTTTGGTCTCGGCTCGAGATATCATATAGCATATCTGCTCTGCTTGTGGCTCCGTTCTCTCGATTCAAATTAATACAATTTTCCTCGAGAATTTGTTCTTCTTTGCTTAATTGGGACTTTCTCTCAAAGTCAGCGAGTAAATCGCGCACTGATTTAGGATTTTGACTATTGAGCAAATATTCACGTTTTGAGTACTTCATCTCTTCATCAAGTAAATCTATTGGGCTCCCTAGATTATGGAGATTCCGCCTTTTTGAGCGCCATAAATTCGAAGTACAGACTTCGTCTGGTACTGGCGGGCAATTTGTTGGGAAAAGGTTTGACTCGGTTTCAGTGCTTGAAAGAACTGAAATATGAGCTTCGTTTGGTTGATATTTAGACTGAAGAGGCTTCAAGGGCTCTTGCATCTTCAATTTTCCATTGGACTTGCTACTGCTGTTATCATCAGAGCTGACTTCAAATGCTTTTATACGATTTTGAACAATATTTTCAGGTGGGGTTTCGTATTGTTTAGCTAGGGATTTCTTCATAACTGGCTCATCATCTTTGTTTGATTTTGGATTAATATACTGGTAAGAAAATTCTTTGATCAACCTATTTTCATCCAACTTTGCAATCCAATTGTAATCTTTACCTAGTGCTTTCAAGGTTTTTGTCTGTGCAGGCTGAGGAGAGAATGAAACAGTTGAGTTTGGAGATCGATAGTCCGAGCTAGAATTGTTCAGTGAGTCAGTGGGGAGTCTGCGAGAGCTGGTTTGCAATGTATCATAGCCGCTGTCCGAGTGTTTGCTACTAACAGTGTATCGGTCTTCATAGCTAGAGTTTCCGTTGAATGACTGGCTGTCATTCGTGTCACTGCTGCCATTACATTTGGAAAATTTTTTGCTCATAGTATTTGAATCATTTAGGTTGACGGAATGTTTAAAAGGGAGAAGATTTTTGTCAAACTGACTTTCGTTTCCTTTTTCTGGTGAAGAGTACGTCGAATAGGAGGGTTTCATCACTGCTTGTTCGATCAATTTGCTGTCTTTCAGAAAATCAAACGAGTGGTTGAAATGACTGTTGGTATTCGAACTTGACTTAGATGATTTGTACTTGTTCAGGCTGTTGGAATAGTCTGTTTTATAAACACTGCTGTATGATGTGTTAATTGAACCAACCATCGAAATGTTTTCATAATCAGGTGTCATGTTTGTTGGATTGTCCTTCGCAATTGCTTTCTCTTCAATTTTAGTTGGTAGCTTTTCCCTGGGTTCATCACAGCCTTGCTCCAATTCTATTGAAGGACAAAGGACGTCCAATGATTAGTCTCATAAGTTTTGCCGACTTCAGTTTAATATCAGTAAAAAAACAGGAGAAGTAAGAGTATAGATGACCAATTCCTTTGATATTAAAATTTTTCCACACTTACAAAAAAATGATGACAAGAAAACGAGAGAACAGAAAAACAAAGAGAGGCAACAAAGAAAGCTGACGCATGCAATCAGTGCAAACTACTGCAAGCAAAAGCATGTGAATGCTCATAAAAAATTGAGTGAAGTGAGATAATTTGAAGATCATATGAACCGGAATTCATAAGAAAATATGAAAGAAAAAAGAGACAGTCAGGAAGCTATTAGACTCCTAGAACCCCTATAAATTTGTAAAACAGCTGAAAAAATAACACAAACGAATGGTAAATTTAAAAATATGTGTTAAACTAGACAAAGAAGAACTCTATATATAATTGGAAAAGGGCTTCGTTGTATTCAGAAATGCTTCAAAAAAGTATGTGCCCATACTTAAAAAAGTAAATTAGTAAAAAGCCTAGAAACTGATTAATACTTAACATTATGATACTGGCTTTTGAAAGAAAATAACTCGCTTACTAGGCAGAAAAGTTTCGCGACAGTAATTGTAAGAATTTTACATATTTTACAGTATATCGAATTCTACGGCTAGTAAGCAGGACGCAGCAACAGAGTTGAACATGGTTGAAAATAAGGATGAATACTGAACAATTTTGTTCAAAAGAAGGTCATTAATTTATAGACCACATAGCTAAAACCATGTATTGCATCATACATTACACGTCTTTCTATTTTAGACCTCCGACTTACAGGAATGAATTGAAACTGGAGGACATATTTTTTTTGGCATACTAGAGAACCAAAAATGAAAATATGAGCTTGGCGTGATCCGAACAAATTTAAAAGGACCTGCAAGTTAAGCTTATCATAGTAGGTTTTCAGCAGTCTAGAAAAACTTAATGACAAAATCGTTGAGCGTTCATACATGCAACGAATAGCATTGTTAATTTGGAGCACTTTCTTCAAAGATGGTGTCCTCTTGAGTATGCCTTCTAAGGTGGTTTGTAACCACCTTGACCTCCTACTTCCTGGTCAATACTTTCCAAGGATGACTAAAAAAGGTAGATCATTTCAAAAATAAACTTTTTTAAACAGCTTATTCCAGCAGGGTCTTAAATTTTTTGGTTAGAATAAGCTTCACTAAATTTGGAGAATGAAGCTAACATGCAGGAGAGACAGTTGATGAGCTTTGATGACTTTTATGCCGAACAAAATAATTTTCGAAGCAATGTTTTGGGTCCTATTAAAGGAAAAGAGAAATACAGATCAATCAATTCAACCACCAGAGCAGCAACAATTGCGCAGTAACCTTTCACCATACACGGATGAAGAAAACTTAATATTCAAAATAAAATCATTTTCATTCTTTAAAAAAAAAATAATCTTGAATCAGGAAATTTTCTGTTAGTGTGAAACAGTTGATTTAATGGAAGTCGAAAAGTTTTTGAGCCTTTTCAAAATTTTGGTTGTTAAAACTGCAATTAATGCTAGAAAAATTTGAAATATTATAAAGAGGATTTTCACAATGAATTTAATGCAGGCCCATTGAAAGTTAATTTCATAAATTTTTTTCAAATTTTGGAGTGAATTTAAAACATTTTGAAAAGTTGATGCCTCTAGTAGACCCCCCCCCCAAAAAAAAAAAAAAAAAAGACTGATGAGAAAAATTTTTAAAATAAAAAACATACCTTCATCATCGGAAGAGTAGCTATTAAATCTGCTGATCTGGGGACCAGGATGAGAGCCGTCTTTGGACATGTTCCTGGTTCTATTGCACATGTTTGAATCAGTCAGGTATTTTTGGTGGAGATAAATATCTCCATTGTGATTGGCAGTATTTGTTATTGTCCTCAGTTCTGAGTCTGCGGAGGAATCCCAAGACTCGTTCGATGGATTTGTTCCTGAAGTTGTTTTAGTTGGCCATGTATCTGTGCAAACCGAAGACAAAACCAAAAGTAGATTCTTCTTAATATCAAGGAGAAATTTTAATCGGATGCATTAAAATAAAATGTGAAAAAATAAAATATAAAATTGTAAAACTCAACCTATTTCTTTTTTTGTCATGCGATGACTCAGCATTTTCTACTTTTTTTTCACCTCCATTAGAAGGAAAGATTAAACTTGCTTCGATAATAAAGTAATTCAAAAACTGCTTCATAAGTGAATCAGTGAGTTCGAAAACTCACCAACTCTGGTTTTTTTCGATTTTCACTTTTTTACGGTTTAGTAACACTTACAGATAGAAGCATCTGCACGCAAAAGGAAATTTCGAAATTGCAATCGGAAGTGCTCAAAACAGTGACGGGAAGAGGGAAAATCGAAGTATTTCATTGTAAATACCAATGTTTGGCCCTTTCAAAGGAAACGGGTGACCATCTGATTGTGCGGTTTTCTTTTTTCGGTTCAGTATACCTTGTACCAACAAGTTATATAAATATTCAAGCGTTATTCAGGTCAAAAAATATACATTTTTCAGAGCAGACTATCAAAAATCAGTATCTGAAAGTCGGTGAGAACGAAAACACACCAACTCAGAAATTTTTAAACGCTTAATTCTCTGTCATAAAACATGGTGTATCGATTTCAACGAAGTCTCTAAGTATTTGTCCTTTGGCACCAAAAAGGTTTTTCTCAAACTAACTCCTTCGCCCGCTGCGCAGTTTTAGGTGTTTCCTGAACAATTTTTTTTTTCCGAGCTGGTGTTTTCGAACTCACTGATTCAAATATAAACCATATTACTTTCTGCTATAAATCAATGACGAGTTGATGCAAAAAAGACAATAAAAAAAAATTCCTAAATGACTATTGATAACTAACTCTGGGAAATTTAAGGATTTAAAGTTTAGAAAATACCTGAATTATAATGAGCATTCTTAGTTTCTGAGATAATTTTTTGGTTTGAGCTGATGCAATCGACAGGGTAATCATGGCCATAAAATGAGTTTGACTTTAGCATATCACTGATTTCTTTCCTTGGTATGCTTTTGGAGTCATAGTTCATCATTCCTTTGGAGAGCTCATTTTGCGCTGTTCCCCGCTTTGATGATCCTGAAGATTTGCGTGAAAGTGGTGACTGAAGCATTCGCTGCTTCCATTCAAGAAGTCTTTTCATAGATTCCTCTCTCTGAAAACAATAAAAAAATACATTACAGCATGCCCTTTAGCAGCAAAGTAGAGGCGGTTACATAGTTCAAAAACATACCTACGTTGTAGTTCAGTCAAGATGATGTTACACAACTGTAGTAGATAATTCTCACATCTGAGATAGAGAAATCACTACATTAAATTTGTAAAATCAATAGTTTACCATCATGATTTATTTCAGTTTTCTGAATCAATCTGATATTTACTGCTCCTTAATTGCTTACTACCAGAACTTACTACTGAAACAGGAGCAATGACATAGATGTGAAAGGCTAAGGACTTTCCAATGACATTGCAAACTTGAAAGAAAATAATGTCTGGATGTGATGCAAAGACAGTACAAAAGAGAGGCAATGGAGAGATAATTTTGGACTTCAGCACGGCAGATTGCAGCGCAAGTTTGTACTCAATTGTTTTGACTAACATGATTATTTATTTTTCTGAAAAGTCATTCAAGGTTTTTTAAAATGTACCAAAAATAATTTTCTAAGTCTCCAGAAAGTTTAAAAAAAGTAATAGAACAACAATACTATGACCTTTGCTCTTTCTACAATGATTGTCTGAGACTGTTGACACAAAATATTATCTATTTAGTATTTATAACACCACAATGTCTTGGAATACGATTTCAAAAGACAAGAAGACAAATCTCTTGAAGAGGTAAAATTCATAGCGCTATGTGATTACCTGTTGCGTTTTCCTTTCTCCTTCCCGAGAATCAGTGCTGTTCCTCCTTTCGAAATTGTAATTTTTCTCTGAACAGTCCTCAAAGTTCAGAGCATCATCAACAAAATCAGAATGCCGAGGCAGTCTTGCACTGGCTGAACGTATAAATTGACTATGACTTGAGTTGCGATTTTGAGATTGGATATATTCGTTCCATTGTCGTTCTTGCTCAAGAATCACATTTGAATGATTCCGCATCTGCACACTGGCTGAGTCTGTTGGTGAGTCCAAATAAGGTGAAGTCTAATGGGGAAAAACGAAGAGGAAAATCAAGATTAGCGTTAAAGATGGTATTGGTCAGTATTAATAATCGATGGATTAACTTAGAGAGCATGTATCATAATGAAGGGCTAGAAACAACGTAAAATGTGTGGAGTCAAAATAATAAACTCAAATTCACAAAGTAAAAAAATAAAAACAGCCAATGAGACCAATTGAAATCCATTTTGTAGATAGAGACAGGACCCTTGAATAACGTCAGCAATTTATATTTTGTAGCCTTTGTAGGTTTGAGTTTATTAATTGATTCTACATATTCTAAGCTGTTTTTTCCTCATTTCAATACTTGAGGTTTCTTAAGTTCGTTTTTCAGGGGTTTTTATAGGTTCCTGTTCTGTTGGTATCTTCATCATAGTATTTATTAGCCTAAATCTCCTCCTTATGATTATGCAAACCATGACGATGAGAAAATTGTTTTCCTTGAAATTTTCCTGGATAGAATATTCTTTAAACAGAGAATATAAACACTACATGTTCCCAGAAAATACATTGATGGGTCAGTCTCAATATGCTGAGTGACTGAAATTTTGGAACATCGCAAACCAAGATACATGATTCACCAGTTTGTTGGTTTTATGAAGGGGAGGAGAGGGTGGAGCACTAGCAGAAAAATCCAATTTTATTTGTACTCATTTGCTGTTACAGAAACATAAACACATAATATAAAATACAATCTCTTCCCCCTCTTTATTTTTTAGCTTCCATGAGCTATTGCGATCCCTTAAATTAATACAGATACTAAAAAATACATAAGCAAAAAACGAATCCAACAAAAATACCTGATTGAATGGAAGTTTGGTCGATGGTGTAGTGGTTCTCGCAGCAATCAATGGGCTGACATGATTCTGGAATGTGGGCGACACATATAATGCAGACTGCCGCATCTTTTGAGCATAGCTTTCTTCCGACCAGTGGTGGTAGTCCAGGAAGTCTGAGGTGTTGATGATATCAAGACTGGACTTTGGCCGTCTTGGTTGGGTTGAGATCACTCCCTGATTCGCATAGCAGGTCCCTGGGAACTCAGCAGGGGATTGGACACCGTTCTGCATCTCATACTTTCTCGCATCGTACTCCAGGAAATCAGCACTATGAGGGCGTGGGGGATACCTGTAACATACAAAAGAGGCAAAGTTTAATTTGAGAATAGCTGGAAGTTTTTCTACTTTTTTGCAGAAAATGCAAGAGCTGTGAACCGATACTTCCTCCGAATAATTTTACTGAGAATAACATGAGTAAAATACAATACAGAAGTTACAAAATATTTAAATTTTGAGAAATTATTTGGATTTTCTGTAAGTTTGGAAAAATTTTCGAGTTACGTATAGTTCTTTGCTTTTGATAGCTACTGATCAAAAAGTTGATTACTCTCAGTGTTTGAATCTTGTCAAAATCTTAAGGAGTTCTTGTGGCCAGCATGTTGGAAATTTAGGAGCCATCAAGGATTATTTAGAGGCCAAAATGGTTTTTCCTTTTTTTAAAGAAATTAAGATTATCAGTACAATATTGCTCGGAATGCTAGAAATGGTTCAATTGTCGCAACTCAGCAGGATCGGATTTCTACAAATCACGATCTCGCATTTGAGGAATATTTCTGATACCCGCGCATTTTATTTACGTGCCAATTTTGACCGCAGCTTCAATTATTTAGGCGCGTGTCACCTGTGGGATTCAAACACTGATTATACTGTTTCCATTTTTTTTATTTTTTCCCAAATTTAATTGAATTTACTTTTGCTGGCACAGATGCAAATTAAAAAATAGTGTAGGTATTTCCTTTGGTGAATACACTAAAAATTGGGTGGATTTGGGTAAAAGAACAGTATCTTTTATTGTCAGTCTACTCTGATTAGACAAATAGATTCGTACTTACATTAAAATTGAATAAGTAGATGTTCAAAATGAAAAAGACTAACCTTTTCTGGGTGGGTGAAATCACATTGTGGGGTCGTTTTCGGTAGTGCACAGCCATTTGGGATTGAGCGATCTGAGAGTTGATCATATTTTTATTCGAGACATAAACTGAGTTCTCTTGATTGTTGTGATAAACGTCTTCGTAGTCAAATTTTTTCACACCAGAGGGCTTGTGAGCACTTGGCGCAGTTGCATATGAGCGACCGTAAGTATCCGGCGTTCGGCGCTCTGAGTTGTTGAACAGGTGGGCGTTAGGTAACGTATTTGGCCGGTTGTAGTTATGCATGCGAGGGTATTCCTGAGGTTGAGCAGCCATCCTCGATATCCGACCATTTTCCTCCGGTGACCTGAAAACAGAACATTCGATTGTGAGACCAAGCGACAGAATAAGTATTTTAACAATCAGGAAGCATAAGAATGAATAATACATGGATGATAGCTGAATTTGGCTTTGAAGTATCGTGGAAAGAAATTATTCGGCACAAAACTTGGATGAGATGTACAAATCGGAAAAAACCTTTACCTACTCTTAAGGATAATAAAGAAAAAGACAACAATTTCTTATGACCACAATGCTGTGAATTGATGGTTTATTTGCATATCATGCCCTGAGGCCTTTGGCTTACACTGTGCCATCATCAGTGGGTACGAATCAAATAGAAAATTATAAAAGCTAAACTACAACTACAAGCGATACCACCACATAATGTTTTTAAAAAATAGTAAAATAATTAATGATCAATGACATGAATTAGCAGGTACAAAGTTATCTTCACATTGTGTACCTGCTAATTACTGTCATTGTTCGTTAATTATTTTATTATTTTTTAAAAACATGATATACTGTATTATTTGTAATCATGTAGTTGCTGGTTTGTTTGTTGATATGTCTCATTTTAGTTGGTGGTATTGCTTGTAGTTGTAGTTATGATTAGCTTTTATAATTTTCTATTTGCTTCCTACCCTCAGATGATGGCACAGTGTAAGCCAAATGGTCATGATATGTAAATCAATTAGCAGAATAGTGGTCTCAAGAAATTGCATTCTTTTTCTTTTTATTATCTTATGATTATGTTTGCTGCTTTTCCAAGCATATTTAAATATTTACTCTCTCTGTCTAAGAAGGAGAAATTCAAGGACTTGATATACAGGAGCCATATATATGATCATAATCACAAAAATATTTTGCAAATTTCACAGCTATGTTTAGTGTACTTTACACTAGTGTTTTCAACACTCTTCTCCCAGCAAAAATACGAGACCAACGATACTTCTTATTAAAAAAAAAAAAAAAAAACTTAATCGGCCCGAAACATTAACAGAGAAACAACTTAAAACGGGACTAAGGCTGCAAATAAAATTATTTAATTATTTGCGGCCTTAGTCTCGTTTTAAGTTGTTTCTCTTCTTATTAAATCTGTGCCAAAAAAGCATAGTTCCTCACCTCTCCGGTGAAGCCTCATTGTTCAGCCGCCGCGGTTTGGGTGGTGCGTTGGCATACAGCGGTTGTGGGTTTTCGCAGTGATTATTCTGCCACTTTGGCATTGTCGTTCCATAGTCGTTCCCAACCTCATTCACCTGTTTCATTGCTACCATTTTCTTGAGTGGAGGGTAGTTGCCATGAAAGCCTGAATCGCTATCGTCTGTGCTGTGGTTATGATGCGAAGAGTTGGAGGAGAGCGCTGTCCTGTTTTCTGCCCAACTGAAAAGACAGATTGAATGAACAAGAGATTAGCGGAGGTCATCCATATGGGGCAGTTTCATAGATTATATTCTTTACGAAATATAATTTTACTACTTACAGTAAAAGACAAGGAATATATTTTTTTAAACTTGCAAAATCGAATCATTGAAAATTGATCCTCAGTGTTTTACCTACATGACAGAAAATGATAGAAATTTAAATTTCTCCTAGATTTCTTGCTTCTAAATATATTTTTAGATTTTGAAAAAATCATAGATGGTAATAAAGATTCTTTCTCTGTATTTTAAAGTCAAAGAGATGTTATTAGCGTAACCTTGAGAACGTTGAGTTATTAGCGTTTTTAAAATACTTAATAGGGGATCTATAAGTATAAAAAATTAGTTTTAATACCAAACATCATCTCAGGCCCAAGTTACGGGGTTTTGATATGCTGCAGACATAGGAATTGTCTCACGGTTTTCCCCATATTTCTTGCATAAAAGGAAATATAGTTAGGTACTTGAGGTTCATTCACCCTTAAATACAGATTTAATGTAAACCCTGTAAATCGAAGACTCATATGATGGGGAAAAAACTCTTCACTTCATGATATTTTTGTAAAAATACGTTTTAAAAAAAAATGGTTTATTAATATATATTGACTTTGCGGAAAACTAATGGCGAAGAAAATAAGTAACTTACCTCGGATTGCTTTCTTGAAGAATTGAAGCAAGGCTTAAGGCATTCATCCACTGGATCATAAGTTCTCTAGAATCTGCAGCAAAATAATACGTGCGCATATTAGCATGCTCAGCTTTGAAGCTGAACTTTTTGAACACCCTATCTTCTGCTGAGCATGGCGAAATTTTGTACGATGGTAACAGGATGGAACCCAGGACCTTCTCTTCTTCTTCACCTGAAATCAAAATCATTGCATAATTAAACCTTATTATTTACGACTTAAAAGCTTCATTTCCAAACGCCTACATAAAAAACAGGAAATACTTGATGTGGGTAAAATAAGATTTCCCTGAGTACTTAAGAGTCCATTCAGGTTTTAAAGTACCTAAAGCAATCAGAAACTAGTGCAAAATGCTATTAATATTCCAATATTTGAATCGATCCCTGAATACATTTTAAATTTTCGATAAATTAAAACTTCACGAAAGTAGGTAAGTTGGAAAAAAATCTGAATTTTCTCAAAACTTTCAAAAACAGTTCGGAGGATTCTTGTAATTTTTCAATAGAAAAAAAAGGATTTATTAATTTTCCAGACTTTCCTAATTTTCCGGAGGGTCCAGATTTCGTAATAGCGCATTTTCTGAACCTCCCTGATTATTACCTACCTAAAGTCCAGAGTATGTTGTCTAAAATTCTTGGCCAAGCTCCTTCCCTGATTTTTCTCCTGATTTTTAGGAGCTCATTACCTGAAGAAAAACCGACGTTTTTTCCCACTTCCCTAGGATTTTCTTGATAAAACTATCAAATTTGCATCATCGTTTGGCGCAGATTCAAATTTTTCACTAAAAGAGTGTTCCTAATGTTTGTAAAATTATTTGATCAATGAAAGCACCCCCATCAATATGATGATTTGAAGACTCAAATTTCGCTGATGAAACTGCAGAAATGCGTATCTCGGTTTGCGGCGTTGCAGACTTCCTGTCATACAGAGTTTTCAACCTGGAAAACTAGTGAGCGTCATTTTCGGAAAAAGTCAGCGATTTTCCTTCTCTACATAGAGAATATTCAGAGAAAACTTCAAGCTTTCTTATTGGTTTGTCGTCCTTTAAAAAAACATAAAAAAGGGCGGATATTTCAAAACACCGCCACCGAGATACTCATTTTGGCAGTTTCACCGTCGAAATGTTAGGCATTCAAGGGGCTCAGGCACGATACCACAAACTTAAAAACAACAGGTACTTAAAACTTCCATGCACTTTGAAAACGAAATGAATTACGGGTTTTCCCCTTCCTGCGGGCTGATTATTGAAATTGATAGAAAAAACGACAGATAAAGAAGGCTTAGGGAGTATGGAGCGATCCCATGGGCTGAAATGTGTGGTCCCCATAGACTAAGGGAGAAAATGATGGACTAATTGTCGTGTTTCTCGTGAGTTGCCTTTTGTTAGTCAATGGAGATGTTGCATATGTGAGGAATTTGCGATTTGACTGTCGATTCTTCCGTAAAAGTTCGCTAGAAACACGATGGTGCCACTGGTTTTCTCTGAAATCAACTCCCAAGCTCAAAAAAAGCTCTCCAGCTGAGGCCAAAATGGAGGGGATATCCCACGCTATCCTGAGAGTCCACCTCTACACCAAGACAAACTCTCCATGCAAAGATAGGGAGCAAATACATTGACAGGGCTGCCACTTTATTTGGGGACTCCAAAACTGAAAACACGGCATCACTGCTAATGTATTTGCTCTCTATCTTTGCATGAAGAGTTTGTCTTGATGTAGAGGTGGACTCTCAGGGTGGGGTGGGATATCCCCTCCATTTTGGCCTCAACTTGAGAGCTTTTTTTGAGCTTGGGAGTTGATTTCAGCGAAAACCAGTGGCACCATCGTGTTTCTCGCGAACTTTTACGCAAGAATCAAGAGTTAAATCGCAAATTCCTCACACATGCAACATCTCCATTACCTACCGCCTTCGTCAATTGCAACCACCCGCTTCCACCAATAGGATCTCTCCACATCCCTTCTGTCTTCCTTGTCTACCAATAAATTTCAATAATCGGCCCGTAGGACACCATGTGCGAAAGAAACTGGTATCGGGACTTGTACTCACCCTTGTAGTAGAAGAGGCAGTACTCGGAGAGGACGAACCATCGCTTCTTCCAGAGCATGAGCCCTTCGCTGCCCTGCTTGTGGAGCCAGCCCTGGATCGTGACGGGGGCCGAGAGGGGGCGCTTGATGGTCGGGGCCCGCAGGTCCGTCTTCACCAGACTCCGCAGCCCCCCGCCCTTAGTCCCCCCTCCGCCACCCCCGCCGCCGCCGCCTCCCCCGCCCCCGGACGTCACCCCGTGGTTGTGGTTGTTGTGGTTGTGGTGCGTCAGCTGAGTCGTCGTCGTTACCATCGTCCCGCCCTGCGCCTGAAACAAAAAAAAGTTCCCGATTATTACCCCACAGTCATGGAAAGCGACTATACAAAGCTCAGAATTGTCATGAACAAGTTAAAAATAACATTGGAAAAGTTTCGCAGAAAAAGTTGAATGGTTTTATTTATGACGAATGGAAAAAACTGCGTTCGACAGTGATTGTTGAGGAAATAGAAAAAAAATTGACAGAGGATTTAATTTGACGGGTAGATATTGTATTCTCTGCGTTTTTATCGCTCCAAGCCTGAAGTTTGAAACTTTCAAACTCAATTGAGCAGAATCATCCTGACTATATTTCACGTTGCCTAGTTTTGTATCGCCCTTTTTCGTCGTTTTTTTAAGACTGAAAATGGAGCAAAAAGGACCAGGGCCCGATTAAGGGGGTGGCCACATGGGCCGGGGCCGCGGCCCATGGCGGCAAATTTAGGGGACGGCAAATTTTGCAATTTTTTTAAATGTAGGTATAAAAAAAATCGGATTCAGAGAAAAAAAATTATCAATGAGAAAAGGGGACAAAATCTCTCTTTCCTGAGAGTATAGTAATTTCTAATTTTGTCGTTTCTCGGTGATACAAGAGACAGCATCTTCAATTAGTCGAGGTAAGAGAGGAACTAAACACGCAACTTGGCCTGGAGCTCAGCGCAGAGAGGAATAATGACGAGGACTTGAGATAAAAAGGACAAGCCCTCGGCGCGGCGGTCGGCATGTAACACACATTAGCGCCTACAAGAAAGCATGAATACTTCACGCATTGCGTCAGACACAGTGCGGTCAGCAGCGGTCGGCGTGAAACGCAGAGCGCCTACAAGACTGAAGGGATACTTCACGCATTGCGCCCGCGCAGCTGAGGCGGACCCGAAAACGGGTCTTGTCAATACTCGTCCTTTGCCGAGCAAAAGTTATTTTTGACATACAGAGTGATCCAAACGTCCCAGCAGCAAGCATCGCCTTCGTAACCTTTGAATAAATTGAGATAGAGACTAGAAATTGTGTGGGTGCATGCTCCTAGGTCAAAGAAAAGGACTTTTGGACTAATTGGGCACGACGCTAGCCGTTACTATACTTTCCCAGCCTTAAAGTTACCACATTATACCTATGAGCAACCTATCTTGAGAAACTTTCAGACTTTCGAATCCATCCCGAAGGTGCTCGCGACCTGGAGCTAGCAAATTGTTACCAGTGTCATCGCATCATTTCTGTCGTGAGATTATTTATCGTCCGTGTTAAAGACGGTTTGATGGTTTACGACCTGTGCGAATGGCTTGTGCAGTCGAAGATTTATGGCGCTTTAACGCGTTGGCGCGCTGAGTAGTTGCTTCCGACATCACTTTCTTCTGTCAAATTATTCTTCAAATCGCTCTCCTCCAATTTGGAGAAAGGTTAAGTATTTCCTCTCTTTGAAACAAACTACTAATTTCAATTTCCTGACGAGACACGCCTCCCTAACCGAACCGTTTCTAACCAATACAACAACTTATTATCCCATTAAGAAATTAACAAGGTTTTCAGGAATAGTTCCTTACTTTCACTGAAAAAAAGCATTAAACAATAAGGAAATGGGAAGAAATGTTTGAGAAAAAGCTCGAACCCAGGTATAAACGTTCCCACTTGATTACAGTACCTATCACGGACAAAAGGGTCGAATGGCACCTCTCTAATTTCAAGAAAAATGCGTTATACTATACTTAATTGAAAAATGACAAGAAGACTTAGGACAGAAATACTGAATGAAACAGAAAGGGACTGAGTCAGACTTTGAGGAAAAAAGATTCAGGGGTATTGAGTTTGGGTAGCTGTGCGTTTTCTCCGGTCAAAAATTCGTTCTTAAGAACAAATATTTTAAAAGCGGAAATCATCACTAATGAAACATCATCTCTACAACACTCAGTCTTATGGAGGAATAGAACTTCAACCTCTTGGTCCGTGTTCGATGTTGATAAGGCTTCATTCCTTTCTAATACACTTGGTCCAAATGATCTTCAAACGCAATTACAATGAGGGAGAAAATAGAGGGGGAGGAGGGAGGGTCCATGTTTAAGAAAAATTAGTCTGGGAAGTCTGGACTCCTAGACCGCTCTAGCTAGCATTGCATTTGCATTACCCATTATAGACAGCAGCCCTGAGCTGTAACGGGTTGTTACTCGAAACACCCTTCATCCATGCATAGAGAAACTTAGAACCCTGGTCCGGTCTCAGCATCAGGAAATTGAAGTCATTCTATCTAACGACATCCGTGCTGTGATGCTGAGGCAAAACAGCGTATGGATGTTTAGACGATGCCAAATCTCTGCTGATAAAATTATAATTTTCTTGAGAATCAAATACATACTTTTCTATGATATTTTAACAATATTTTACAAGTATCCATGTTCTTATCAAGTCTTCACAAACATGGGAAAATATTCATTTATCAGAGGCCAAAGAGCAAAATCGCACGTTCCTCCGTTTACGACGGCGCAGACTTCCTGTCATACTTGGTTTTTCTTTGGAAAACCAGGCAACTTAATTTCTTGAAAACTTCCTTGATTTTCCCTCTAGCAGAATGTTCCAAAGGAATTTCAAGCGAAAAAATGACTTGTTCCTCCTCCAAAAATTAAATAGAAGCAGAGATTTCGAAGCACCGCAATTTAGCAGCGCTCCCATTTTCCGGAACAAGTTCCGGATTTCGGAGCTTTTTATATTTTCCTTGATTTCCTTCGGAACTTTTGAAATTTTCCTTGATTTTTTGCCGGAACTTGAAAAATACCCGAAATATCCAGCTATTTTCGGAATTTTTCCGGAATTTCGGGGTTTTCCGTCAGTTCGACTGTCAGAATTTTTTCCCGGAACTTTTGGAAATCCGAATTAACTCCGAGAACCGCGAAACCTTTGGTGAAATGAAATGGGAGCACTGCAATTTTAGATACGTGGTTTCGTACTTTCATTAGTCACTGGAAAAAAAACACATTGGATCTAGAGTCCAGACTCTTGAAAACATTGACAAGAAAAAGGACTCTTGATTCAATCAGATTTAAGCTTAAATCAGAAGGAAATCCGCTCAAATTAAGAGGCTTGGTTCTTGATTTAAGCTTAAATCTGATTGAATCAAGAGTATTTGTTCTTGTCGATGTTTTGAAGAGTCTGGACTCTAGGTCCAATGTGTTTTTTTTCCAGTGGATATTGCCTGCAAGAGAAATATTTTCTCGAGGAAATTTGGCAACGTCGGAATGCTCGTACGCCGTTTTTCCTAAGCACGGAAGCGTAGTACTCGTAAGACTGACCGCGAGCGTAAGGACTAGGAGACCGGCTCCGTGAACCCATTCATGGTTGACGTCCACGTTTGCCTAACCGTGACCCGTCCCCCGGTCGACGTATGTAAACATCCCGGGGCGGGCGCGAGAGTCGGCAACAAACGGGAGTCCCTCGAAAATCCAGCGGAAACGGCCGTCTCGGGGTTGCTTAATGAGCGGGCAACGCCGTCTGACAAAGGCGATCCCCAATTCATTCGCCGCACAGGGGTTCGAGTCAATTAGAGAGGCCAGACATTAAATTTTTTACTAAGACTGCAAATTCTGATGTTTAATTCGTCAAAATTTAAAGTTTGAAGGGTGCCTCTGAAGGAAAATTTCACGAGAAAACCGCTTTGAATAACTCAAAATTTTGTATAAACGGAATTAAAGGCCTTTAAAGTTTCCAAATTTTGTGTGACCCCTCTTATCAATTCGATCCACTGTGCGCCAGGGCGAGGGTGAAGGCGCGGGCCATGTCGGGGAAATTAATTTCTTCTCTCATAGGCGGTGTCTAGATGGGGTTTTTCTTGATCCCTCCAAGCGTATCCCCTGTTGCGGCCGTGGCGGGCCCGTGCTGCCGGGATGGAGAGAAACGTCGTATCGATATTCTGAGGTTGTCAAATTCCCGCTAAAATACGAATTTCCTGGAGGATTTAAGGGTGTTCAAAGGTGTTCTTCAGGGTGTTTAAAAAGTCTCGCATCGCTAGGTTCAGGCACCAGCACCATCTGTGTACCTTTTGAAGGAACGGATTGTGAGACAGAGACTTGAAATTTTGTGCGTGCTCCTAGGGCAAAGGAAACCACTTTTGAGATACCCCAAAATTTAGTTGCACATCTCTGAGAAATGACAAGGTCCCTGAGGTTTATAAAGGTGGTGCGAGACTTATGGATCACCCTGTAATTGAACCGACCTTTTCCTAGATCACGTGAGCGCCATTCTCTATTTTGGTGGTAGAGGGGTTATTTTTTCTTTGTTTTCTCTGGTGTAATCAATCATGTCTGATTTCAAAATAGCCTTCCAAAAGAACATACATTTTTTGGAATTCGAAGATCGTCGCCGAAGCGAATAAAACGGGTTTTCTTGTTCTTCTCGCATTCGCAATGGAGAATTTGCAGGTGTCTGAAATTTGATGAATTTCGTGTTTAAGTGGAAATTACTGACTTAACTGAACACGAGGATACCATTGGTTCATGAATTGAACAATTATTGGAGAGGATATGACGAAATGATGAAATCTGCCAAAATACATAGGTTTAAATGGGAAATGCCGCCAGATGACGTCACTAGGCGGTGCATTTTCTCACTTTTAAATCTGTTTTTAATACTATTTCGCGTAACAGAAAAAAATTATGAAAAATATTGTGAAATCAGCTCTTTAAGCACTTTCAGATGAGGCAATAAAACAATTGCATGCAAATTCTCCATCTTGGCGCTTACGCGATTTGGAAAATAATCGGTTCAATTGCGACTTTCCTCAACGATAAATAATTTCTTGGAGGAAACTTGGCAACGTTTGAAAGCTCATGAGGCGTTCTTCCTTAGACGGGTGGGATGGGCGTCGACCCCCGAAGACTCCGGAGCGAGCCCCAATGTC